CAAAGAAGGAAGTACTTCTCAAATTTGTTTGAATGATATGAAATCCTAGCAATCCTTGAGGGCCATCATCAAAATGGATGTATTTTGGGGCACCTGTGTGGCTCAGCCGGTTAAGAGTCTGCCTCCGACTAGGGTCATGATCCCCGGGGTCCTGGGATCAAGCCCCACGTCAGGCTCCCTGCTTGGGCTTCCTCTCATTTTGCCTGCTTGTGGTCTCTCTCTCTGTGTGTGTGTCAGATGAATAGACAAATTCTAAAAAAAAAAAAAGGATGTATTTTCTTCTAGCATGCGAAAATGGAATTATTTCACTATTATGAAGTATGACTATATTAAATATAGTCAAATAAAATCATGGCCCAGAGAATATGTTCAAGAAAAAAATCACTAGCTTTCATCTAAGCCTGGTGAATGGATCCAACTCTTCCATGAATATTTATTTGCTTCTTGCTCATTCTCTTTTGCCATCTGCTAGATGGCAGAAATCACCAATGCTTAAGACAAAAAATTAAATAGAAAAGCTTAAAATTGAGGATATTCTTTCTAATAAGTATTTTTCCTGTGGTTTACAAAGAGAGCCATTATTAGATGTATTATCAAAATAAATTTGAATGTTCCACATCTTTTGGTTTATACCACTGTTTGATAATACAAGAACTCCTTAATTAACATCCAAAATTCAGCAACTGTTCAAATTAATTTGCAACAGCTACTCTAATTATATTTTTAAATTATATTAAAATTCTTTGACTTTTAATAAATACTATATGAGTACTGTAAGCAAATGGAGTTGAGTTTACATTCTAGCTCTTTTTTTTACTAGTTAAGTGTTTTGGATAATTATTTAACGTCTCCAAGATTCTGTTTCCTCATCTATACAATTATCGTATTAATACTGAATCTCATAAATTTTGTCATGATCAAATGAGTTCAGGGAGTAGTAGCCTGTAGGTTTCTATAAATTCAACAAGTACCAAATCCTGAAATGATTTGCATCTTTTTATATTAAAACATACCAAAATCTCTACCATAATCATCATCTCAAGAAATCATTCTCTTTGAGTTTGAACTTCCCACCCACAGTTTGTCATGCTCCTGAGTTCCCACTATCATTGCCTGCATAACAGAAACAGACTTGTTATGAATCTACTGCCCTGGCAGAGCCCCTCAGAACGCCTCACCTGAAATACCTCCACCTCCAGCACTGGGTTCACATGTCATAGGACTTTGTAAAATGTTCAAAAGAAACCTCCATTTGCGTTCTTTTTCATAGTAAGAACCCTCAGATTGTTTTAGTTTCAGATTGAGGGCTGATAAGACTTTTTCAAAGTTTATTATGTCTTTGTTTCGTAAATCCAGTCTGACAATTTTTATGTTTTAATTGGTGTATTTAGTGTATTTCCTCCTCAATTTGTGCTTAAATCTACCATCTGATTATTTGTACTGTATTTTCCACCTGCTTTATATTTCCTTTTTATTTTCGTTTTGTGCATTCTTTGGATAAATTAAGCATTTTTGATATCTATCCTCTCATCGGTCATGTTTTTAAAATATTGTTTGAATGGTTACATGAGAAATTACTCTATGTATTATTGTTTTTTTGCAGCCTGCCTGATTTAACGTAATGCTTTTAATGCTCCCTTGACAATGCAGGGACTTTAAAACACATTAATTCCATTTATCACCTCCTGAATTTTCTGCTATGTTTGGTATTTACTTTAATTATTCATAATTTTAAATGCACTCAAGACAGTAATGTTGTTGTTATATGCAGTCAATATTCATTTAGATGTATCTACATATTTAGTCTTTTAAGTCTTTCTTTCTTTCTGAACTCCAGGCTTTCACATGAGTTCATTTTCCCTCTATCTTAAGTAATTCTTTTTTTAGAGAAAGAGTGAAAGATCGAGAGAGAGAGAGAGAAAGAGAGAGAGCGCATGCACACAAGCAGGTGGGGGAGGGGCAGAGGGCAAAGGAGAGAGAATCTCAAGCAGGCTCCACACCCAGTCCAGAGCCATCATGGGTCTTGATCTCAGAATACTCAGATTATGACCTGAGCAGAAATCAAGAGTCAGATGCTTAACTGACTGAGCTTCTCAGGCGCCTCCCTTCATCTTAAGTACTTTTTAAGTATTTTCATTAGTGTGGATCTGATGGTGATACATTTTCCTGATTTTTATATATTTGAAAAGGTCTTTACCTTCATTTGTGAAGCAGATTTTCTTTGTGAATAGCATTCTATTTTAGTGCATTTTTCAGTTTTTTTTTAGTGTATTTTTTTTCAACTGTATTACCTTCTGCTCCTATTATTTCCATAGAAAAGTCACCTACCTGTCATTCTCTTCCTCTCTTCTTTTAGGTAATGGGTCCATTTTTCCCCTCTCTCTTGCTTTTAAGATTTTTTTTTTTTTTTTGTCTTTGGTTATCCTATGGTGTGCCTTAGTGTTGTTTTGTTTCTACGTATTTTACATAAACTTTTTGTTGTACTTTTTGAATCTGTGTTTAATGTATTCAATCAGCTTTGAGAGATTATTTGCATTGTTCTTTCAAATATTGCTTTGTATTTTTTTCTTTGGCCTTTCACCTAAGGTTCTATTTACAGGTTATGTTAGGTATTTTAACATATCCCATTTATCTCTTAAATGCTATAGTGTATTTTCCATCCTCCCTCACCCCATCTCTCTCTCTCTCTCTGCGCTTGAGTCTGGATCTAATGAACTATCTTTCACCTCATTAATCTTTTTTTCTTTTTTTTTTTTTGGAGTGAAGACACTGGCTAGTCTGCCATTAAACTCATCTATCGAATTCTTTATTTTAGTTATTATATCTTCAGATCTGTAATTTTTATTTGTATTCCTTTTATATATTCCCATTGTTTGTTGAAATGTTATACCTTCTCTGTTTTCTTCAACCCATGTGTTATTTTGATTATAAAGGCTATATCTGTTATTCTAATACCTGGATCAGCTGTGGATTTCTAGTATCAGTTTCTATTATCTATTGTCCCTCTTTTTCCACATCACCCTTAATCCTCTATTGAGGCCTTTTTTGGTTTTAACTGAAAAACTAGACTATTTACAAGGCCCTCATCTTTGGGATCCCGAACTCCACTTTTTGTCTTTCAAACATGTAGGGTTGCCAAAAGTCTGTCTGTTTCTCAGCTATGGCAAAGGCAAATATTCATATGAAAAACCATAATTGAGGTGATTCCATGACAGGTTTTTTCCTGTTAGGGGTGTTCTATTTCTAGTATGCCTTTACTCCTTGGGGGACCCATCTTAAATCCAGGGCTCGTCACCAGAGTGCCAGTACTTTGCTAGGTCCTGAACTCCAACTCTTGTTCCTGCAGTTCTGTGAAATCACTGCATGCATTGCCCAGACTCTCCAAACGCCTTCAGAGAACAAGTCGCACCAAGTGCCAGTCTCATAAATCTGCACTTCCCTTTTCTTCAGGATCTTGACATTTTTGGATATAGCTAAGTTGCTTCTCTCTGACACCTTCAATCACATAGCCCCTAGCTTTTCTTTATTTGTGGTGAGGGGGTTGATCAAATAAAAGCTAGCCTACCTTAGCTCAAAGCCTTTATAGTTAGCACTAATAATATTATGAAAATAATATCTTAACTTCTTATAAAAGTTTTGCTCTTCTCATTTTTGTTTTTGAGTTAAATCTGGAGTTTCTAAGTTTTACATGGTATAAGGATATACTTTAATGTCTTTTCATAAGGATCTACAATTAAACAAGCACAATTTATTAAATAGTTCATTACTTCTTTTCCACTGATGTGTGATGCTCCCACTGTCACACACAAAGATTTCATTAACATGTGGGTTTGCATCTGTTTTCATTTCATTTCAGTTTCATTAATCTAGCTATCTCTTACACACTGTTTGAAATACTATCTTTTTTCTTGCAATACGGTAGAGACAAATTTTCTTCTTAAAAATTTGTTGGCTGTTATTGGCTCTATGTCATATAAAATTTAGGCAGGTCTTTTTAAACTTTATGAAAAACACTGAATTTTATTGAATTACATTGAATTAAAAGTATAATCTTGAGGGAACCTAAGATGTTAACTATCTTAACCTATAAGCACTATAGAAAACTCACCTTTTATTTTATTTAATAATTTTAAACAATTTGATCATGAGTTTTATTCTTAATTTTGGTCACACTTATTATTAGGTAACATTTGTAAAATCAGGTTTATTTTTTATTTTGAGTTCATTTTTTGTATGACAAGGGGAAGGGGTCCAACTTTATTTTGCATGTTAACATCCAATTGGCTTAACACCATTTGTTGAAAAGACTTTTTTTCTGTTTGAATTTTCTTGAGACTCTTGTCAAAATTCTCCTGACCATTGAAAGGTTGTTGTGGAGCTCCCAGCTCTATTCCATATATATGTGTCAGCACCACACGTTCTTAGTAGCTTTGTTGTAAGTTTTCCAATTGAGAAGTGTGAGTCCTCCAACTTTGTTCTTTTTCAATACCATTTGCCTTTTTATTTTTTAAAAGATTTTATGTATATTTGAGAGAGAGAAAAAGAGAGAGCACAAGCAAGGGGGAGGGGCAGCGGGAGAGGGAAAAGCAGACTTGCTGCTGAGCAGGGAGCCCAATGTGGGGCTTGATCCCAGGACCCTGGGATCATGACCTGAGCCGAAGGCAGATTCTTAACAAACGACTGAGCTACCCAGGTCCCCCAGAGTCATTCTTCTTTATGGCTTTCTAGCATAATACTAAGAAGAAGAAATATTTTAATGCATTAAGGTCCATGAAAAGAAGGTCACCCTTGAAAAGCAGTACATTGATTTTCCACTGTAGGACCTTGCTTCACTCATTCATAATTTGGTTAAATTGTAGCATCTTTAAGATGCTAGAATAGAGGGTACACATCACTCATAACCATTTCTGCTATCACTATACCTATTAAACAACAATGACCCATTCCCTTCTTCTCCCAGCCCCTGGCAACCGCCCTTCTCCTTTCTGTCCCTATTTATTTGCTTTGCGCAGTGGCAGTATTGTAGCCAATGAGGTTTATCCGGGGCACGATTATTGCTAATTGATTATTCTAGGTACTTCATAGAAGTGGAATATACAGTGTTTGTCTTTTTATGACTGGCTTATTTATTATTATTATTATTTTATTATTATGTTCAATTAGCCAGCATATAGTACATCATTAGTTTTTGATGTAGTGTTCAACGATTCATTAGTTGCATATAATACCCAGTGCTCATCACCAAACGTGCCCTCCTTAATACCCATCACCCTGTTACCTCATCCCCCCACTTGCCTCCCTTATGTAACCCTCAGTTTGGTTCCCAGAGTGACTGGCTTATTTCACTTAACATAATGTCCTCAAGGTTCACCCATGTTGTATCATGTGTCATAGTTTCCTTTTTTTTTAATGATATTCCATGACATATACATATTACATTTTGTTTACCCACTCATTCTTTGGTCAAAGAACACTTAAGTTACTTTCACTTTTTGGTTATTGTGAATAATATTGCTATGAACATCGATGTTCAAATATTTCTTTGAGATGCTGCTTTCAGTACTTTTGGGTATGTATCTAGAAGTGAAATTGTTCTATGGTAGTTATATTATAGACTATTGTAACAGTGCATTATACAGGGAAGAGCCTTGGTCATTCAAATGCGATATTATTTTCTTTAGTTCCAAAGCAAGGAGCAGTTTGTGGGGGTAAACTTACATAATGTTAAAGATAAAATTGAGAACTATGAAATGTCGAAAATTTTCCTTCTTTTAATCTAGAGTATTTAACTACATTTCAGTAGAGCACCTTGTGGACAAATATGTCTGAAAGTATTTGACGAGGGACTTGACACTAGTGATTTTTGCAATCTTTTTACTCAAGGCATAAGAAAACTGCATCAGATGCTAAAGAAGTATTTGCTGAAGTAATGAATGACAAATGGGTGTTAAATATTAAATGATAAGCACCACAGTGTCAGACAACATTATGGTTGAAAGGAAAGTTAATAAAGTTAACCACCACATGGTACTATTCCTGGTGGCTGGCCATATCTTGGTCAGTTCTTTTTCAGTCAAATGCAACAACAATATCCAATAGTGAACAGAAACCATGTTATTCCCACATACTACATAGTGAAAATATTAAAGAATAATAAGATCTTTCTTTATTTTTTGATAATTCACACACATTCATAGTTCTCCCTGTTCTTTTTTTTTATTTTTATGTTATGTTAACCACCATACGTTACATCATTAGTTTTTGAGGTAGTGTTCCATGATTTATTGTTTGCGTATAACACCCAGTGCTCCATGCAGAACGTGCCCTCTTTAATACCTATCACCAGGCTAACCCATCCTCCTACCCCCCTCCCCTCTAGAAGATCTTTCTTTGTATTAATAAACAAAAATATTTGACGTAATTGACCAAACCAAAAAGTACTAAAGAATCATGGGCATAATCTGAAACACATCTTCAGGAAACATGGCAAACTCAGATGCAGTTAATAGAGTCAACAATACACTCCAATGACAGGTTCATTTAAGAGTAGTTACAGGGCGCCTGGGTGGCTCAGTTGGTTAAGCGACTGCCTTCGGCTCAGGTCATGATCCTGGAGTCCCTGGATCGAGTCCCGCATTGGGCTCCCTGCTCGGCCCTCCCCCCTCTCATGTGCTCTTTCTCATTCTCTCTCTCTCAAATAAATAAATAAAATCTTTATAAAAAAAAAGAGTAGTTACAGACAAAATTGAAGCGCACATTTCTTTGACTCTGTTTGTGGAGTGGCTTTATTATTCTTTTACAATTTTACAAGGAAAGCCAAATCAATAGCTTTGTTATCTTCATGAACAGAGAAATCTATATGCCATCATTACCAAGATTTCAAAAGAATTTCTCTACTGAAATCTGCAGAACAGTATATGGAAAATGTATTTTCTTTGGGCAAAGGTTGTCTCTCTAATGAGCTCTGCTTGCATATTTCAGAGTATAGTTGTGTAGTAGAAAGCACACAAGTATATCTCAAAGCTTATGTTCTGACCCCAGCCCGTCCACTGCTACCTTTGTAAATTCATAAAATAAAAAAAGGAAGTATATGATCTTTCCTGTAGCTTCATAATTTAAAATTTTAAGATTTTGTTTTCATTATAGACACAAAAATATGTATTTTAGTTGTATTTTTATGATGTACAGCATACATATGTTTTGTTGTGTGTGTGTACGTGTGTGTATGTGTTACTTACAGATTAACCAGTGATGACTATAGAACAGATATTTTCATTGCGTAAATATAAACAGACTTCCAAAACAATAGTGTTTTGTACTGAGAGTCGATGCTGATGGAAACCTGTGTCCTTGCTCTCATTTTGCCCTTCAATTTTATATTTCTCACATCTCCCTTTTGTTCTACCTCAAAGTGAATCTTAAGGGCTGCTGATCAGAGAAAAGACATCCAGAGAAGACCAGAACACAAGGCCTTGGTGCTAGATATTTAACAATGCTTCAACTATAGCTCCTTAAATTTTATAGATATGTAGAAAGGTTTTAAAAATATTATATTACATAAAATGTGATCTGTTAACAAATACTAATGAATATGTTTAGATACACTCATAGCAGTTAGCAGCATGGTGTAATGTTAATGCTTTGTGAAATATTATAAACTATGAAGAAAAATAATGATTTTTTATAAGAAAATCACCATTTGGTTACATTTAAATATTGGGAAATCATAAGTAATAGTAATAATGGGAAGGCAGAATGTAAAGAAAACATCAAAACACTTTCATCACACTTATCCAAAAACTGCTTTCGCTTTCCCACATTCTCCTCCGGGCCTAAGGGCATGGCTGTAAGCCGCATTATAATTGCGGTGGACAATGCATTTATTTGCTTTTTTTTTTTTTGAGAGACAGGTGGGGAGGAAGGGACAGAATCATTTTTAAGATAATAGTTTAAATAACCGTAAAACTTTTAAAGTGGCTTTCTAATTAAAAAAAAATCAAGCTGCTTGTTTGTCTGCTAATCTAATACAAAGGAAAGTAGAATGGAAAAACATGATCACGTTTGTTATTGATAATATCACCCCGTTGATATTTACCTAATTCACATGACCATTTGACTGCAGCCTGAGCATGCACATAAATTTTGGAGCTTCGCAATTGGTATTGATCATGGAAAGACCAATTTAGCTACAGCTATTTGTACTGACTGCTAAAATTGCTCAGATGCCTGTAGTGGTCATGATTCTGGTTGATCTGGCCTCTGTGGAGGCATGAAAAAGATGAGCTCTTCAGTGTTTTTGAAATAATGGAAATCCAACCACATCTTTATATTTTAGAATAATAATACATAATATTTTAAAATACGATGTAGGTCAAATTTTAGTCCTCAATTGCCACTTTATTCTGCATTGCTTTTTTTGATCATAGTTTCCAATATACGATGATACTGTGATTTTCAGTCTAGTCTCAGAAAAATGCTAACATGAACTGAAATTCCAGACTCTTTATTTGGAAACTGTTAATGTAAGAAGATCCTCTTGGTATATATGTACCTGTTGGCATGTGCATGACTGGGGACTGGTGGTCCTTTCAGGAGTTATGTGAAATCAGAAAAGCTCTTCCTCCATATGAAAATCTGTGGGTGATGGTAGGGATCCTAAAAAAGTCAAATCTTGCCTGGGACTGAGCCTTTTGAAAATGGTGATCATCATTCTTCTGCCCTGTCTACCCCAGGAGGCTTTTCAGCTGGGATAGAACTCTTCAGGAAGTGTAGAGAGTAACAAGGTTTAATGTCCCAGAAGGATGATATAGAAAAGAGTATTAATAAAGCTGGAGGAATCTAAGGCTAACCCAAGGATCTTCAAGATGCCATCTTATCAACATGATTACAAGTACAAAATAGTCATCATTTCAGTAAAATTTTTATACCATTCTGAAACCTTAATACTTAACTTTTTTTTTTTTTTTTCCATTTCACAGTAGTGTGTCACTGTAAAAACCTTTCAAGAAATACTAAATTGGTGCTGGAAATTAGCTGGGAATTGCCTACAGTTTCACAGACTTTCTTGGGATGGGGGGAGAGTAGCTCTTAGATACAGATAAATACTAAAATTCTATAGCATATGAGGTGAAGCAAATATGATAAGACCATCTGCCCACCCTGGCCAAAAATACACAAGTCTAGGAAGAAAAGAGGAAGGAGATAACAGAGTCAAAAGAAGCAACAACAGCAACCCCAAAGGATTCCTCGGCAGTGAAATTGCAGAATGAGAGGGTAGCATATCATAACCTCAAGAAAATTTTGCTAGATACAAAATGCTTCAGATAAATTGATGAAGACACTAGGAGTTGTTACATGAATTCCTTTCCTGGGAAATAATTACAGCTTTTCAGGAAGGAAATTAAAGAAAGTTTGGCATGTTCTAACAGCATTCTCTGTTTTGAAGAGATTAGTGAAAGATGCATGGGTAGACCATAACATGAATGAAATATGTCATGCATTTAGTTCCTTCCATCACTATGGAGAAACAGCATTTAATGGTTCAAAGTGAGGTCCAAAGTAAAGCACAGGCCTGTTTCTAGCCGTTTTTCTCTAAGCCAGTTTCTTAAAAGTGGCAGGGATTTACTCCAACATGGGACTAGTCGAGGAGAGCTAGGTCTGGAGGCAAGAGTACACCACTGAGAAGGTAGCCCGTTTGGGCTATTTCCAAAGGCGTGGAGACAAAGCACAAAAGAAGTACACTCACCCTTACCAAAAATGACTTTAGTCCATGGGGATTTTTTTTCTAACTAGCATCATTATTTGCAGGTGTCATGACATTTGTCTTAAGGAGGAGCATCAAAATGAAACTATTCAAATGAATAAAATGGTTTAAGATCATGGTGATGTACAAACACTAATATTTAAAAAATTTATCACCAATAATTGCTTAGAAAATAATATTGAAATAATTATTTTGGTTAGCAATAATGATAATGATAGGCTGGGGATGCATTTAAAAAAAATGTACAGGACTTACATCAAGAGTAAACACATGCTATTCTACGAAGTATTCTATTGAGCTTTTGGCATATAACTAGTGTGACTGAGGAAACAACTTTAAATTTTATTTAAATTTGAATGATCCCCTATGGATA